GGCACCAAAATATCTTGGGTTTTTTGAGGCAATTGTGAAAAGTATTGTTTCCATGATTTCTTCCTCCATCTATTTTTCCTTTGTGTATAGAAAGGCTATTGGGTTTATACATCCATTTTTCATCCTGATATTTTTCTGAAAGTGTTTATCAGCTGCAGGAGTTTGCTGGAGGAAATTTTAGAGTCATGTATGTCTACTATCACATCATCAATGAATAAAGATATATTGATTTCTTTCCTTCCTAATTATGCCCACCTGACCTCCTTTAGTTGTCTTATTGCTCTAGCTAATAATTCAAGTACTATATTGAACAGATATAGAGAGAGTGGACAACCTTGCCTTGTTTCTTATTTCAGTAGAAATGCTTTGGGTTTTCTTCACTTAGGTTGATGTTGACCGTGGATTTGCTGTAAATCACATCTTATTTTGAGTTTTGTTTCTTGTATCCCTTCCCCATTATCTCCAGGACATTTACCATAAAGGAATGTTGGATTTTTGTCACAGGCCTTTTCTGCATCTAGTGAGATGACCTTATGGTTTTTGTCTTTCATATGCTAGATAACATTTCTTGATTTATGCATATTGAACCATCCCTGTATCTCTATGATGAAGTCTACTTTATCATGGTAGATGATCTTTTTAATGTGTTTTTGGTTTTAGTTTTCAAGTATTTTATTGAGAAACTTTGCATTTATGTCCATCAGGATCACTGTTCTGTAATTTTCTTTCTTTGTTGAGTCTTTATGTGGTTTAGATATCAGGCCAACTATAACCTGGTAAGAGGAATTGGCTAGTGTCCCTTTGGTTTTCATTTTGTAGAATAAGTTGATAAATAATGTAGTTAGATTTTCTTTGATATTTGGTGAAAGTCCATTCTAAAGTGTCTGGGATCATTTTTTTTTTTTTGGCTGAGAGTCTTTTAATGACTGATTATATTTCACTAGAGTCACTAGAGATTATAAATCTGTTTACATGGCTTATCTGATGTTGATTTACTCTGATATGTCATATATATCAAGAAAATTATTCATTTATTTTAGATTCTTCCAACTTGGTGATGTATGGGTTGCTGAAGTATTTCTTTACAATTCTCTGGATTTCCTTGGTATCTGTTGTTATGTCCTTATATTGTTTCTAATTTTGTTATTTTGAATCTTTCTCCATCACCTTTAATTAATTTAGAGAAGTGTTTATCAATCTTATTGATTTTCTCAAAGAAACAACTCTGTTTTATTTATTTTTTTAAAAAATGTTTCTTGTTTCTATTTTATTGGTTTTTATCCATGAGTTTTATTGTTTCTTGTTGTCTGTTCCATTTGGGTGTTATTCCTTCTTTTTGTTCTAGAGCTTTTAAGCATATCACTAAATCACTAATATGTAGAAGGGAACGGCGGGCCTCTTCCCGCCACCTGCTTCCTGGCTAGCTTTACCCGAAATAATTACACGGAAACTGTATTTATTTTAAACACTGCTTGGCCCATTAGTTATAACCTCTTATTGGCTAGCTCTTATATATTGATTTAACCCACTTCTATTAATGTGTATTGCCACTTGACTGTGGCTTACCGGGATGAGTGTAACCGGAGTCTATCTCAGAGAGGAGAGTCATGGTGACTACCTGATTGTCTTCTTCCCAGCATTCTGTTCTGTCTACTCCACCTATTTAAGCTGCTGTCCTATCAAAAGCCAAGGCAGTTTCTTTATTAACCAATAAAAATAACACATAGACAGTTAACCCTCCTCCATCACTAATATAAGATCTCTCCAATTTTTTTTCTGTGGCCACTTAGTGCTATGAGCTTGCCTCTTAGAACCAACCATTCATCATTTCCCATAAGTTTGAGCATGTTGTATTTTCATTTTCATTCAGTTTTAAAATGTTTTTAAATTTCTTTTTAAATATTTGTCTTGGTTAATTTTTCATTCAGTAGTGAATTGCTCAGTTTCCATGACTTTGTAAGCTTTGTGTTGTTTCTGTTGTTATTACTATCTAGCTTTAATCCATGGTGGTCAGATAGGACACAGGGTGTTGTTTTAACTTTCTTGTATCTGTTGAGACATGATTTGTCTCCTAGTATATGGCAAACTTTGGAATAAAATTCCGTGAGCTACAGAGAAGGAGGTCTATTTTTGTAACATGAGAGGGCCTGTTTATTTGTGGTTCTGTCCCGCCCGACCCCCCAGCTGTTTTGTCCCAGAGAAAATCACTCACACAGAGGACTCTGTAAGTTATAAAGCTGATTGGCCCATTAGGTCAGGCTTCTTACTGATAAACTCTCACATCTTAATTAACCCATTTTTCTGTTCTATTTTAGCCATGTGGCTCAGTACCTTTTTCAGTGGGGCAGCTCACATCTTGCTGCTTCGGTGTTCTGGGCAGGAGTGGGAAGAATCAACTTCCTCCTCCCCAGAATTCTCCTGCTCTCCTTGCATCATTTCCACTTCTTGTCTGTTTTTCCCACCTATACCTCCTGCCTGGCCAATCAGCATTTATTTAAAACATGATTGACAGAATACAGACAATTCTCCTGCACCACTTCCCCCTCTTTAAAAAAAAAAAAGAAAAAACAAAGGAAAATGTCCATAGTCCATTTTTTGTGAATGTGGGCGTAGTATTTCAGACTACTTCCAGCTGGTTGGGGGCACTGATAATCTTATGGGGAACCTAAAGAAAATTTAGAGTTATGATCAAGTCCTGACTGAAGTATCCTATGAGTCTTGATCATCTCAGGCAGCAGTCTTGAACCTGTTCTGGATGAAGAACTCAGACATCTGGGTCATCTGTTCCTACCAGCAATTGCTCAGGTGGTCTCCCTTGGTCAAAGATGATTTTTCTTAACTCCAAATAAATCCAGAGCCTCTCATTTTCTGTGGAAACAAAAGCAAAATCTCTTCTCCAAAGTAACATACCTTTTGATTTCAATTTTGAAGCCAAGGTATTTTCAAAATACCTATCTTGAATTAATTTTGCAGCATTTATAAGCAAGTATCTTTTAGCAGTTGTTTCTCCTTCCTCAGCATTTAAACAATTTAAAGAGAGCATAATAGCAAACAGTATCAAGATTCTCCGTGTATTTTCCATCTTTGTGTGGCTTTATTTTAACCTCTATTTCTTTTATTTTTACTCTTAACTTTTGGCTTTTTGAGACAGGTTCTCTGCATATCTTTGTCCTGGAACTCCCTCTGTAGACCAGGCTATCTTTGAACTCCCAGAGATCCGTCTGTCTCTGCCTCCCCAGTGCTGGGATTAAAGGTGTGTACCACCACACCCAACTATTCTATAGGACACAGGGTGTTGTTTTAACTTTCTTGTATCTGTTGAGACATGATTTGTCTCCTAGTATATGGCAAACTTTGGAATAAAATTCCATGAGCTACAGAGAAGGAGGTCTATTTTGCATGTCTGTGTGTGTATGGGTGCAAGTTTCTGTAATATCTGTTAAATTTATTTTGTTTATGACGTCATTAATCATCAGCTTTTTTTGTTATTTAGTTTTATCTGGATGACCTGTGTATTAGTGAGTGTGAGATGTTAAAGTCTCCCACTATCAATGTGTGAGGGTCAGTATGAGAAGGCCAAGAAAGAAAGGGCCATAGTCAATGGTCTGCTACAGCTTTGGGGATAAGATTGGAGGTTGGAGTTGGAGGACAGGAGGGAGAGTGAAGATGGAGTGCCTAACTCCTTGGCCAGAGTGACTGGGTTTCCAGTGAGTCAGAAGTAAACTTGTATATGTTTGTTTTCTGTTTTAAAACCTGACTTGAATTCTTAATTAGAATGAATATAGAGAGCATGGAGTTTTCTGGATCTTCTCTGCTTTTGTTCTTTTCTAGTCACAAAGCCCAGATGTTATCTGCACTGGAGGAGAGTTCAAATCTGTCAGCTGCCTTTGGTCATAACCCAAATAGATGATCTCACCAGGTGAAAGGTTTCCTTGTGATACAGTGGCTACTCTACTGTGACAGGTCAAACCCATGAAAACAAAGTCAAGAAAGGATAGTGGTAGTCCCTAGTGTTTCTTTTTCTGTTTTTGTTCATTATTTGACTACTATGAACTTGGAAATAGCTACATTCATCTATGAGAAATGATGGTTATGTTCCTTTATAACTTAGTTTGGAAAAGATGTAAGGCTGGTAAATGAATATGTAACATTCTTACAAATTAGGATCCTCATGTAAGAAACACCAAAAAGAAACAATAAACAATAAACCATCATTTCTGGTGATGGAAATGTCATTTTTTCCCTACAGACACGTAGATGGAGCACTGGGGACAGGGCATATTTTGCAAAATTGAGAACAAATTAATTGCATGGTTTTACTGATGCTGTAAAAAGTTTCTCCTTGGTAAGATTTGGGGTTCCTGGGTCTTGGATTTTTTGGTTGTTTTTGTCAACACTAGTTGATCTCTAACAAAGTTAAAGATGACTTTGAACTCTTGATCCTTCTACACTGCTGGGATTATAGGTGTGTACCTTCATGGCCAGTCTCATGTCAGGCATATGTAAGAATCTTTATACTCACATTTTCCTTTTTGTCTTTTTGTTCTTCTTGTTGTTGTTATTTGTTTGTTTTTGAGACAGGGTCTCACAATATAACAGTGACAGGGCTGGACTTTGCTGTGTAGGCCAGGCTGGCCTCCAACTCATAGAGAACTTCCTGCCTCCTGGGATTAAAGTGTGTGCCAGCACACCTGGTCTCCTCCGTCAGAGTTTTGACAAGTTATAAGGTTCTAAAGACAACCATTTACATGTCATGATAGTACATAATGACTGCCCAGCAGGCCTCAGGGAGAGGTCAGAAGTGGTAGGGCCTATGAATGAACTAGATGTAAAAGTGAGACCTAAGTGGGCTTTGTGGCCATGCTTCTGAGGGCAGAGAGTAAAGTCCTGACTGCCTTCATTTTGCATCTAGAAGGCTCTCCAACTTCTGTGACTCAGGGCGACTGACTTTAATCCAAGAGAAATTAAAGGTCACATTAGTTTCTTTTTGTTCTCTGCAGAGAATGACACTCCCTCTTCAGTTTGGCGCCCAGTGGCCCTGACCCTGCTGACCTTGTGTTTGGTGCTACTTGTTGGCCTCGCAGCCCTGGGCCTTGTGTGTAAGTCTGCACTTTACCTTGGGGGAGGTTCCTGGTTCCTTGGTTTGTCCAGGAGGAGAATCTCTTTATGGGTTTCGTAAAATTCTAATTCTGGAGTCTTATCCTCTTTCTAAAGGCAACTCTTTAAATGACTAGGAGTTGAAGTAAATACAGCAAGCATTTTTCAGTTCGAAGAAAACATGCTGTGGGGACAAGTATTGTATCCGTTTACATGTCCGTATGTAAATCACCGCTTTGGAGAGCATGCACTGTTGATCTCTTTACCCCCTGCTCCGGTGGCGCAGTTCTGGCGGCTGCTGTGGACACCTGGTGCAGTGGATTGGTATAGGGAAAGTGGTTTCTGCGCTCATCCATCCTCTACACAAGGAGCAGAGAAGAGCTGGGTCTCTATATTTGTCAGAAAGGCTGGGAAATGATACAGTTATTTTGGAGGGGGGATGCGAGAAAATCAAACAAGGAAAAAACCTTCCATTTCAAAGCAGCAACAGTGTGTTCCTAGATCTACTCAGTAAGAATATATAACCCCTTCCCGAACTGCTAAAGGTGACCCCAGGCAAATACCATACAGCAATGCAGATCAGGGGCTCATATAGTGATTTTCTTTGAAGCAAAGGTTAAATTTATGAGAAATCCTCTCTCTCAAAAAAAGTTTAAATTTATGAACTTAAATTTAAAAAGTAAAAAGAAATACTATTATTTCTCTCTACCTCGAAATTTATATCATCTTGTTACAGCACTATTTTGTAATCACCTTTTTTTCTTAAGAATGTGAAGTAGCTCTCATGACTCATGACAGATTTCTCTAGATTTAGAAAACTGAAGTTCAAATCTGTGTTGAAATTTCTTTTCAGTTGAGTGACACCGAAGTTATTACTCGTCCTCACATACACGAACTACAAATCTGCAAAAATATGAAAATGAGATCTGACCAATGTAACAATGAAATGAACAATGGATTATGCCATTCTTCTAATATTCAATATAACAATAGATGAATATATTTACAGTTTTAGATTGGTTTCAGGTTTGGCTGTGCATAAAATACTTCAATAGTTAGAACAATTTAGCATTCGGCTCTTAGCTTCTGAAATTAAGAACCACTACTTTGGCTTCATATTTTCTAACAGAGGTGTACATATAAACTTACCTGAGATGATGCAATTACCTGTGCCATTGGATGTGGCAATGTGAGCTCTCAGTCTTAAGCTGTTAAGCTATGTGCTTTATTGCCTCCCCACTGTGTGGAAATGCAAACAGGCATGAGCTGTCCTGTCTGACTTGGTCACATGACTTAGTTTTTCAGTTCTACCAGCTCTCCAATACCCAGCAAGACAGCATCGCTGAAATGGATGAAAGGCTGGGGAACATATCCCGACAGCTGCAGTCCCTCCAGATGCAGAACAGAAGACTCATAGAAACCCTACAGCACGTAGCTGTAAAACTGTGTCGTGAACTTTATAACAAAAGTGGAGGTGAGCATTCCCCTGTCTCCCTGGACCATGGAAACTGTTCTGTCTGGACTTGAACTTCCCATCTGGGCAACTAAAACAGTGTATTTTTTAGAAGTGCTTTTCCTTCCATCTCCATAAACAGTTTGAGCTGCATAATCATGATCAGACATTGGATTATAATTACTTACACACATCCATGTCACCATACAGGTTGGGTTATAATTGCTTACACACATCCATGTCACTATATGGGAAGGAATTCTTCAAATTTTGACATTTAAAACAGGAAAAGCAGTTAATTTAGAATAACCTAAACAGCACCACCATCAACTAAATACAGGGCCGTGCTTCAGTTACACTGGCACACACTGGTCATCAGCGCACACTGACCAGGCACAATGAAAGTCTTGGGGAAGTTTTAACCACAATTTTCCAATATTTAGACTCATGCAGGGGTTTGTCTCAAATTTCAGAAAACTTGAAATAAATCCCAGTTGTTTTTGTTCACTCTGGCTTTTTTCTCCGTCAAGAATAGGAATCTCACAAAGAACCAAGGGTAAAGACAATGACAGGAATGAGGAAACCCAAACTATCACTGATGATAACTGTAAATATCGCCTCAGTGCCCCTTACACACTCTACCACCCATTCTTTCTATTCTTCCTTTCTGAAAGTTTCATCCTTGTACACCATATTAAAGTCAGCCCTGTTCTCTGTCCTCTCCACCACGCAAGCACAGGAAGAAATCTATATTTTGCAGCTCTGCTTGACTTCTCCTTTATGAAATGTAAAGTACCACAGTTTCATCATCATGTCTGCCCACACCACTTCTCCTTTAAGCAGACAGCAAGTGAATGATTTTCTCAGTAAACAGTGTCTCAAGGCACACTTCTCTAAGTGGTTCTTTTCCATGTGAGAAGTGACCTCATTTACCATAATTCTCTCTTTTCTGTTTCTCTACCAGACCAGTAGACTTTTTTTTTTTTTGGATTCTACATTAACAAAAAGTCCAGGTATCTCTGAAAAAAAAAATGGTCCCTGGGATTCTCATTTAGCTTTAAAAAAAACTATGCAAATAAACCATATTCGATTTTAATATAATGTGTTAGGAATGCATGCTGTGAAAAAAATCTGGGTCACAGATATAAATTGGCTAATATCTTATGTGCTCAAATTCTAGTAAAAACACACAAACAGAAAATGACCACATACTTTTGGATTATTTTCCATGTGTCATAAGACTGATTGACACACCCAAACAGTGGTGGCATTTGTCTTTAATCCTAGTTGTCAGGAAACAGAGATAGGAAGATCTTTGTGAGTTCAAGACCAGTCTGGTCTTCAGAGTGAGTTACAGGATATCCAGAACTATGCAGTGAGACCCTGTGTTAAAAAAAAAATCAACTAGACCGAACAAACAGAAACAAACAGACAAAAATGACTGACCTGCCTGAGAGTAATGACTTACTGCACACACATTCTTGCTGCATTGACCATGTTGTAGCTATTGGCACATGAAGCCTTCTACATAGATGGGGACTTAGAGGAGGATCTCACAGAGAGTGCCCATGCTCAGTGTGAGACTTCTATGACCACTATTGTTTCATTAGTTCTACATCCATACTTAGAACAGAGCATCTGAAAGTAGCACGTCTTCATGGCATACATTCATCTAGCTAATCAAAAATATGCATTTCCCTTGAAATATGCTCATGCATCTATGCTTGCACATATAACATGTATGTGTGCTGTGTCTAGGGGAATTTTTTTCACGTACTTTTAAAAAATGTTGTTTTAGATTTAGTTGTTTTATTTTATGTACATTAATGTTTTATTTGCGTGTATGTTTATGCATCAAGGGCATACTTGGTGCTCTTTGGGGGAATCAAAAAAGAGCATTGAATCCTTTGGAACTGGATTTACAGGTAGTTCTGAACCACTGTGAGGGTGCTGAGAATCTAGACTAGGTCCTATGCAAGAACAGCTGGCACTATTAACCACTGAACCATCATTATAGTCCCTTACTTTTATTTTTTTCCAGTTGCTTAGGTTAAACTAATACTAAGTCAGAACAACATAGGACTCTTTCTATGTCTTTAGTTTTATGGTATCACTTCTTGTTTCACACAACACGTTCAGACTTTACTCTCTCTCCTTCCTACCTGATTATCTCTTCTTTGGAATTATTACTTTTGTTTCCACAAAAGAATGAAAACACATAGTATTTGTCTTTATATACTTAGTTCTTTTTATTTAGCACAATGTTATCCAGTTCTATGAACTTTTACGTAAGTAGACATGATTTCATTGTACTGCAATAGCTGATAGTACCTGTTGTATATATGTGCTTTATTTCTTATTCATTCATTAGTCCATGGACAATTTGGCAGAGTCTATTTCTTGGCTACTATAACTGTGGGAGTGAATATATGTATTTAGTATCATAGTTGCATTTCACTTGGATACATGCATAATAGTCTGATTTCCAGGTTACATGTTCATCATAGTTTGGGTTTTTTGAGACATCTCTATATTGTTTTCTGTAGTGTCTGTACTAATTTATATTTTTATCTACAATGTGTACAAGTTCTTCCTATGTTTCTTTTGAGCATTTGTTATTTTCCAATTTTTAATTAATTGTCATTGTAACTCTGGGCTTTTGTGCTATTCATTGTGGCTTTGATGTGCATTTTGTAGTAATTAGTGACAATGGGCAGCTTCTTGTGTACTTGTTGTCATTTGTGTGTCTTTTTGGGAAATGCTTCCTTTATCATTTACCCATTTTTATTAGATTATTTGGAGGTCTTATTTTAGGTTTGAGTTTATTACCTATTTAGACTTTTTTCTTCTATGTGAGTAGATTGCATACATGTTCTTCCACTCTGAAGGTTGTCTCCTCATGCTATTATTTTCTATGCTATGAATGTAGAAGCACCTCAGTTTGATAGAATCACATTTATCTACTTTTTCTTTTATGGTTTAAGCTTTTGAGTTTTAATCCAAAATCTCTATCTACAGCAATGTCTTGGCAGATTTTTCTTCTTTATTTTCTTGACATAGAAGAGTCAGAGTTCTTGTTTGTACACTTAAGACCTTGACCCATTTTGAATTGATTTTCTTATATGACAAGAAACATGGGTCTAGTTTATTCTTCTTCATATGGGTATCAGTTTTCTGAGTATCATACACTAAAAACACTGCTCACTAAACTATGTTCTTTGTGCCTTTGTTAAAGCTGAGGTTGTCTGTATGCATGAGGATTGTTTGCTGGATTCTCATTCACTGTGTTCATTGTAATTCATTTGACTACTCAAATTTTCGTAGTAGTTTGGTACTAAATTGTTCTTAAAATCATGCTACCCTTGAAAGGTTTATACAAGTTAGTGTTATATGAAAAAAGGGAACCTCAACTGAGAAAAGTAAGACCAGCTGTGACCTTAGTGATTGATGGGGGAAGACCCAGTCCATGGTGGGTTAGTGTTATCCCTGGGCTGGTGACTCTGGGTAATATAAGAAAGTAGGCCAAGTAAACCAAGAAGCATTTCTCCATGGCCTTTGCATTAGTCCCTATCTCTAGATTCTTTCCCTTCTTTAGTTTCCGACCTCACTGCTTTTGATGATGAGCTGTTATTTGGAACTGAGTAAAATAAACTGTTTCTCCTCAGCTTGCTTTTTGCTCATGGCGTTTCATCACAACAGAAACCCTATCTAAGCACATGTCAAGCAAGATAGTACAGGCCTCCAATCCCAGCTACTAAGGCAAGAAGGTCACAATTTCAAACTAATATAGGGATATAAAATGAATTGAAGGCTAGCCTGAATCACTTAAGTCCCCATCTCAAAACAAAAGGTTAGAAAATGTAGATGGAGGCTGCTCGTTCCTTTCCCAGCCACCCAGACATAGAAACTGTATTAATTAAAATACTGCTTAGTCTATTAGCTTAGGCTTCTTATTAACTAGCTCTTACATCTTAAATTAACCCATTATTATTTTATATTTTATCACAAAGCTCGTTGTTAATAAGTTTCCAGCATTTGTCTCCTTCAGCAGCTACGTGGCATCTCTCTGGCTCCGCCTTCTTTCATTCTCTATCTGCTTGGAATTCCCGCCTTGCTGTATTTTGCTCTGTCATAGGCCCAAGCAGCTTCTCTATTAACCAATGGTTGTAATAAAGCATGTTCATAGCAAACAGAGGGGCATCCCACATCAAGAAAGCATAGAATATGGCTCAGTATTTAACCTGAAGTAACATGGTGTTCAAATCTCCATCACCTCCAAAATAAAATAATGATACAACCATGGATATGATTAAAAGTCTCTCCCACACAACTTAGCTGTAAGATCCTGACTACCATGATACTCATGATACTACTTCTCATATATGCAACAAGTACCCATGTATCCCATCTTACTCTTAATTTATGTACTTACTTGTTTTGCTTGCAAGTGCCCACACTCCAACACACACACACACACACACACACACACACACACACACACACACACTTATACAGAAAGAATACAAGGAACCTACACCTGAGAATACCTGAAAAAGAACTTGAAAAGAGGAAAGACTTGATTAGCTTCTAGCTTCAGATGTTTCAACACATGGTGGCAATGAAAGCCACTGGAGGACAGCTTACATCATGCACACCATATTTGCAGCAGAGAAAAGGGCATATGCAAAGAGTGAGACATCTCCCAGTGATTGATTTCTATATTAGCCCCTATTATTTTCATCACGTCCTATTAATGCCATGATATTTGAAACCAATCAATAAATCAGTCGATCAATGATATTGAAGCCCTCAGGATCCAATCACAGCACCAAAGCTCACCAGTTCAAAATTACACCCCCAGTGCTTATGAGTCTATGGGAGGAATTTTATATACAAACCATTGCATAATCATATGAACCATCTCATGAAGGAATACTCTGTTCACATTCTGCATTGCACTGAAACACAGAAGTTTCAGTCATTCGACACCAGATGCAATACGCCATATAAGCACTATCTTTTAATTTTCACTGAATGTTTAACACTGACTATAGATTATTCCTAGGGTGGAGTGGGTGGATAACACAGGTGTTCACTCAAATACCTAAGAGATTTAAATTAGTTTTTGGAATATCAAGCATTATTTATTTCCAAAAGTGGAAAAATAGTAGATCCAGGCAGAAGATAATTAACCAAAGTTTGTTTGTTTTCTTCCAAGGACACAGATGCAGCCCTTGCCCAGAAAAATGGAAGTGGCATGAGGACAAATGTTACCAGTTCTATAAAGAGAGCAAAAACTGGCAGGGCTGTGAATATTTCTGCTTGGCTGAAAATGCCACCATGCTGAAGATAAGCACACAGGAAGAGCTGGTAAGTTCCTGAGCCTCTGTATTTCAAGGAGTCCCCCAAAAGAACAGGGCAAGAACACTGTACGGAGTCAAGTTTCTGACCCACATATTTCCATTCTTGCTCACAGCGAAGAGCAAGTCATACTCCAATTGCTGCAAATGATCCCTGAAGTGTATAAAAACTGTGTTCTCCCCAAATACCTACTGCACATAAATATGAGAAGTAGCTCATATTTCATTTGACTGCCCCTTCAGTCAATGGACAAGTAGAAAATGTCCTAATTTCTTTTTCTGAGATGGGGTAGAAAGAGAATAATATTGGTACAATCTAAGAAAAATGATAATATTACAGCCCATCTTTCCATTAAAAATGTTAAAAATATTTTAATTGAAAAATATCCCATCAAATAATTATTGTAAATTATACACACACACACACACGCACACACACACACACACACACACACACACACACACACGTCTTCTCCTCCTCCTACTCCTTCTCTTCCTCTTTCCAGAAGGTTGATCAAGGCAAATCTAAGAACAGTTGTGACTTATTTAGGTGTCTCTAGAACCTCACTGACCAACAGGTTTTTGGCAAAGATGTGGAACTGGGATTTATTTTCAGTGCTGTAAATTGGATTCAGGTCTCATGAATGTAAGGTAGACAACCTACCACTAAGCTACATCCCAAGACTTGTTGATATGTGCCTTTTGTTTGATAGCCCCATTATTGGACAACTCCACTTAAACACTTTTATATATGAACATGTATGCATTTTAGTGAGATACTAGAGTAATAGATTTGTACACAGCATTTTCAAAGGTCACTACTTCTAGTCTACCCTGTCCTCTCACCTGCATCCCATTTAACACTTCCTGTTCCATTTCTCTCCTTCATACCACTGGCATTCTGTTTCCTTTTATGTGAAATGTCCCAATGGCCTCTTACTAGTTTCTTGCCTTCTCTGAGTACCGCAATTTAAATGCACATATATAAAGACTCAGAACTAGCATTCAAATATGAAGTAAAGCATACAATGCTTGTTTTTACAGCACAGTATTGGGAAAGGAGTTGCCATATATTAGCATATAGAAATGTATATTTTTCTCTTCTTTTTGTGTGAGGTTCATGTTATCATTATAAATCTCCTTTATTTCTTTTTACGTTAAAGTATTTCCATAATTTTATTCTTGCTTATAACAGTTACTTCTCTTGTTTTGTACTAACAATTTTTCCATTTTCTAGAATAATTTTACTTATTTTAAAAATATTTCTCCCATTTATTTTTGTTCTGTCTTAATACATTAATCAAGAGTAATGACAATAACATTTAGTGTTTAATCAGTTAATTAAAATTCAATTATTTCTGGAGACAAGGATTGAATACAAAGCTCAACGGAAGTTAAGCAAGCACTGAGCCAACTGAGCCGTATTTCAGACCACCCATTTTCCCCTCTGTCTCTCTGTGTCTCTCCGTGTGTTTGTATCTCTGTCTCTCTGTCTTTTTATCTCTTTCCCTCATTTATTTTTTGAGACAAGGTCTCACTTTGTACCTGTGGCCATCTTGGAGTGGGCTATGTAGAGCAGGCTGTCCTCAAACTCACAAAGATCCGCTTGCCTCTGCTATTTGAATGCTGAGATTAAAGGCGTGTGCCACCACATTCAGTTCCTCTCATATACCAATTTTCTGCTTAATCTTATACATTAAGAATAATTGGTCAACTATTTTTATTGGTTGATATGGCTTCCGTTTTCATAATATCAACGTATATTTCATGCTTACTAAGACAAAGCACATCGTTTTGTCTCTTACTTACTGGTCAAATTTCTAATCGGCTTCATGACAAGTGCCTTTTACTCCTGGTTGAAGCATTTCAAAGCTAAACATTTTCTTGTGTGCCTTTCACAGGATTTTGCCATGCCTCAGAGCTACTCTGAGTTTTTCTACTCTTATTGGACAGGGCTCTCCCGCAATGGCAGTGGCAAAGCGTGGCTGTGGACAGATGGGACACCTTACTCCTTTGAACTGTAAGCCTTCAGAGCATTCTGTGCGAGAGGCATTTAATTAGCAGTGAAGTTCAGCAGTAATTATGGAGCATCTGTTTTGTATTGCATAGTGTGCTTGCAGGTGGAGGCCCAGAAGTGCTTGTGTTGAAAATGGCTTAGAAAACAGAGGGGAGAGAGAGAAGGAAAGGGTTTTCAAATATCAGCAGGTGGTTTCCTGGCTGATTTCAGTAGTAGAGAGTCACTCACTACTGGGAAGCGAGTAATGAGGAGAGAGAGAAGAAAAGGGAGAGGAAATCTCATGGGATGAATAATTAAATTAACGAGAGACCTAGCAGACTCAGATGTATAGTGGTCATCCAGGGTCATCCAATCTGTCAAGTTAAGTTATTGCCTCAGAGAGTTCTTGGCTCTCTGCACTTTATCATGCAAATTAAAATATTGTATTTACTACAGAAGCATTTAGAGAAGGTGTGCTTGAAATTCTATGGCATAGGTAAATGTAATTTCTTTAGGAAAGTTTGTTACATTTAAAGCTCTGTTAGACTAGATTCCATTCTCTGTGTATGGTAGAACATGATGTAATAATGTAATCATTTGTATTTTTAATTAAGTAAACTGAATACTAGAAATGGTAGAAAACTTTAAATTGTGGTAAAATCAGAGTGTGTGTCTGCTTTATCTAAGAACAGTTTTTGTTGCTTTGAGTAGTCAGTTACTTCTAAGAATGAAGTGGTGACTGAAGGGTTAAAAACTGAATTCATTGGCCCCATCTCTCCAGCAAAGACATCCTAGGGATAGAGATCATCATCTCTGTCACCTGAGGGACACATTTTTATTGTTTCTAGATATTCCACTTTAGAAATAAATTCTGACCAAATTAAATTTTTCTCTTTTTCTTTCCTAAGGTTTGAGATTATAATAGATCCCACCAACCAAAGGAGCAGGGACTGTATGACCATCTTCAACGGAAAGGCTTTCTCAAAGGACTGCAAAGAGCTGAGGAGGTGTGCCTGTGAGCGGATGGCAGGGAGGGTGGTACCTGAGCTGCTCCAGTAGGTGGCATCAAACATTTAGCAGAGGAAGTCAACAGGGCAGCTTCAACCACCAGCCAAAGGACTGAGTCAAGTGAGGCCAACGCAATGGATATTCGAAGCTTTGGGAAACAGAGAAGCAGTTGCGGGGACTGGTACTTGAGAGGTTCTCCTCATTCTGGCTCAGCATCATCCATACCTGAGCGCCGGTTCTTGCACACTTTTACCGGTCACAAAGATTTTTATGAAGCACCAACTAGCCTCAGTAGGCTAGAGCATTTTCCTCCTTGATTTACAGAAGGCTTTTAGATGTCTCCCAGTGACTGTTTTCACCGTTTCCCATGTCTCCTTTACACTAGGAAAAGAGACACATAAGAAAATAGAGGGGGTGATACGAAGCCACTCACTGTGTGTGGTGGTGTCTACACAAGTCTTGGTGCCTTCCAGCTTTCAGCACTTTGATAGTGGAGGCAAGACAAGAAAAGTTTAAGGCCACTCACAGCTATATAGAAAGGAGGCCATCCTTGGTTATATGAGGATCTCTTCTCAAACAGCAAAAAGGAACAAAAGAACAAGAGAGTTGAAAGAAAGAAAGAAAGAAAGAAAGAAAGAAAGAAAGAAGGAAAGAAAGAAGGAGAAAGGAGAAAAACAAAACAAATCAGAGAATAGAGAAAAAAAGTGGGGTCCTTTGGAGTCCTCTGTCCTAACAGGAAGTCCAAGAGAAACTGGCAGATGTCCCACTCCTGGACTGTTATACACAGCTAATTCTTTTTGTTTCCAGTTCACACTTTGCCTTTCCAAGGCTCTCAATTGCTTCACCTGCTACACCGCTGATCATCTTTCCAGTCGAACTGACTCTCATTGTGTCAATCTCCAGTCCATCGTTATGTCCTTCCCCAATCATGTTTCCTAGGAAAGAGATGATCTCACCTCTCATAGAAGTTAAAATTACTGTCCCTTTACTCCAACAAGGAGACTGGAGAGAAATTTTATTCTCTTTAAATATACAGGTAATAGTTTTATTTTCCTCCATCCCATTTGAAACATGCTTATACCTTCCAGGTACTGAAGATTTAATAATAATACATGTGAATAATGTGAAATGGGTATGGTTTTAGAATGGATTTGTGACCTGGGGGAAAAATCAGCAAGGGAATGCTTTTCACTACTGTGTTAACAGACTGGTTGACTACTTGTGCCTTGACCATTGGTGGAACCACTCTGAGGCTACTGTTTATGGAATATCTGAGGATAAGAAAGTATACAAAACAAATTGTCTTCAAAAGGATGGCTGTATGATATTTCTAAAGTGAAATGGTTGGTGGCAAAATTACGATATCAATGCTGGTCTGTTGAGTACCTGAGGTGTGGTAGACCACATGATATCTAAACAGGAGTTGGAGGAGAAAGAGAAGCTGTGAAGTTTACACAGCCAAACTCTTGACTAGACATTAGCTTCTCTGGGTGATGACATTCAAAGCCATAATGGGAGTTGTTGTGAATAACACTATGTCAACTGGATTCATTGCTTATAGAAAAGTCAGCATTCTAGGGTTGACAGCACAAGTATCAGATGTCACACTCTTAGTTTTCAGCAGTAAAAACTGGGAAACATATATTTCATGGTGAAATTACTAAATTAGCCTTTTTGTAATGAGAACAATTCTATATTTATTTTCATAAGACTTAATTTGATAACAGTCATTTATCCAAACATGACTGATGGGCTGCTTAAATTTTCTTTTAGATTTTCTTCCAACTAGCTGGGGAGTTTCTTCAATGATGAATGAATTCTGTGCAGGGTTATTGTGTCAAGTGAACATAATGTATTCATGGTTAGTTTTAAAACTTGAGGGGTTTAGGTCTTTCTTGGTTTGATTTATTTATTGAGCAAATCACATCACTTCATCTGTCTGATTAAAAAGTTGAAATATTTTTAATTTCTCAATGATGTTACTTAAAATGAAGTAAATGTGAAGTGAGTCTCATAATGTAGGTTGTAGTAGAAAATTTAAGGTAAATTAAGAAAATATTTAAAATGGTTTAGTGGTTCTTGTTTAAATATAGGGTAACGCAAATGCAAATTCTTTATTCATTAAAGGTAAAAAAATTCTCAAATATTTTCCATAATTAACAAAATGATGACAGTTTTCCTGCTCAGTTAAAGTGACTAATACAAAAACCTAAAAAAATAAACAAAGGTCAAATACATTATTAAGCAATTGTTGTATAAACCTGCAGAAGGAAACAGGAGAAAGTAAGAGAAAGTCAAACTTTGTGTACTTAATTGTAAACAAGGACCATGGCTTTCATTTAAGTTTGACTCTAGCATTCTGGACTCCTGGAGGGAAGAAGACATCTGTCTCTCTAACTACTATTGACTGATAAAGTCTAGCTATCTAGAGGGTGAATAACATTCTTATTTGAAATCTGAGATTTCAAGCAAAATGTTATTTCAAGAGGAAAAAGAAAGAAATTGTATTTTAAAAATATCTTTTCTCGATCTTATTCTTCATTATTACCCTTAGTCCCCCTTTCTGTATCCAAGCCTGATAATATTGATAACATCATAGGAAACATCCCAAAAGATCAAAAGATAAGAAAAAGGGAGTATGGTACAACATTGCCTCTACAAATATTTAAGAAACAAGAATCAATCATAAAATGAATTTTAAGATAAGGCTTGCTGATAATAAAAAATGGAAACCAAATGAACTGGCTTTCTTAGGATGAGAAGACATTTTTGTGGTCTTTTACTGTGTAGGTAATTATGAAGAAAGCGCAGGAAGACTCAAACAGGGACCATGGCCTTTCCCATAGAACACGCTCCCTTGGGTACACAATGAGCTATTTCTTTCCTGAGGATATTGAACACTCTCAGGACTTATCAGCAGGAAACAGGTCAGGAACCTGGTGACAGCAGGAAGTTTGAGAAGGGTAATGGGGGAATACAAACAGATTACATACTAGGTACAAGAGTTGAGTGGTTTCCCTGGGGCCAGCCTTAATGTTTGGGAGTCAAGTGCAGTTTTTGAAAGTCACACAAAAAGTACTGTGTGACTTAAGATACTCAAAACTCATTGTCTGAATAGATCTTTAGATTCTAACAACAAATTTATTAGTCTATTAATATTCAGTATTTTATTTGTGCATTCAGTGCGCAATACTATGTAGCAGAACCTGTCTCCAATTGCAGAGGAATTATCATTTTTCTCTGTTTTAATAAGTTCACTCAGTGAAATGGATTAAAAGTACATAATTTATCATTGGTAGGATTGGCACAAGAATCTGGTCCTCTTATGGCTAATTACCATCAACAAGGACAGGCATCCTGGATCACTAGCAATCTACACTGAGAACTCTCCCAACCTCTGCATCTGTGTAGGTGCAGTATGACTGCCTGGGACATCGTAGACTCCTGTATCAGCTGCACTGTAGATAAATTTCTGGCTTGTAAATACAGCATTGTATGTATACAGGCTGGATAACATCAGCCAGAGGATGTTTGCATTTGGTTTCCTTGTACTTTTCTGAGAAGAATTGTCAGTGCTTCCCATCCTTTCTCTAAACATAGCCCAATGACAAGCCTTTGAAGAACCTCAGAGACAAACAGTCTTTACTGTTAAAAATCACCATTGTTTCTGTTTTCCAGGTTAGTATATTTAGCTACCAGCTGCCAGCTGTGAAAACCACACAGTCTACAACTTCCACAGTCTCTGAACTATTTATTCTCCCAGGATCAGCAAAAAGCTAGAGAAATTTCTTTTTCGTGTGTGAGTGTGCGTGCACGCGCGAGCGTGCGTGTGTGTGTGTGTGTGTGTGTGTGTGTGCTTCTACCTTTTAAAAGTCATGACAAGGTAAATAAACAAAAACAAGACCAAGGCACAATCTTCTCATTGCTACAGCACCATAGCCACTGAGAAATGAACTTCAGGTTGAAGGATGCTTAGTTTCATTTAAATATTTCTGCTGCCTCAGTAAATCAGGTTTTTAAATTATTTATTTCTTATGCCATTTTAATAATAAGAAGGGATAAAAATCTTGTACCTCTCAGCATCTTCTTGTCAGAATGAAAGAAGATTAAATACAACCTTATTGAATTTAGCAACTATTTGCTGAGAGCATGGTATGTAGTAAGATTTAGGGATGTCACATGGTAGACAGAGAACATGATAATAAGAATTAGCAAATTTTTCCTTCCTGTAAGTGGCAAGCATTTTCATGTCAACTTTCCTACCTAAAATATGATTTTCTATAGCCTGCATGTAACATTAGGGTTGCATTCTTAAGCAGAATTTTGAAGTGCATCATACTATAAATTTATAGTGGGGAGGGTGAGGCACGGAGACAGGCAGCCGCAAGTGCCAGGTTGTTAATCTTGGCAACGCAGACTGTGAGCTGTTTGACTGGAGTGGTGGCATCGAAGGTGCCACCTACACTGCAGGGCGTGCTGGTGCTGATGTGCTGACCTCACATCACCTATCCCTTCACCTACGTGGACGGTTTTGTTCCCAGTAGAATTCTGCAGCCTGAAAAGCACAGTCAACTCTAGAAGAAGTCTTCATTCTTTCTGAGACAGACTAGAAAGAGTCAGTGACTCTACAGCTTTCCAGAAGGAGTTAAACCTGATAAGTGATATTTTTTAAGTATTATTTAGTGCTATTAGAATCATAATATGTTGGGGTTTTAGTAAGTCTTTATTGTAAATAGGCTTTTAATTCTTGCGAATGATTCAAGCTGTCAGCCAAGCAGCTTCTTTACTAACAACGGGTCAGACTGCCTTGATGGCAGTCAAGCGGTTTGGGTGCTTTACTCTGCGGACACTCTACCTGCTATAGAGGACCGCTGTCTCACGGTTGAAGACAGGGTCCAGTTGCTATGCTCACTTAGCTGGACCATCCTGTGAAAAGCAGCATTCTTTGGCAAACTGCAGATGGCCAGGCCTATCCTGCAGCTATCCCCGCTCTGGCCAGAGAGGGAGCACTTCCAACCCGTGGCCCCCAGGGAAGACCTGTGAGTGTGTACAGAAGATTCTGTGCTGTGATTTGTGCAAATACAGTCATTGAAGGGCTGCGTGACTGATGCAGACACCCCCACCACACCCTCGTCTTCTCTATTAAGTGTGCTGTTTAGCTCAGTTTAAAATCAGCTGGGAGCCTCCTCCTTTGACACTCCTGCTGTTGCAGCATTAGAACCAATACAAGACTTCCTGAATGGTCCTTTCTTGTCTCCTTTGCGCTTTATCATTAGAAGAGCGAACTATGCTGTTAACACAAAGAGAAACTGCAGAAGCTCAGGATGGCAGCAAAGGCAGAAGCAGCACCAGAAGCAGCTGCGACTCTTCAGTCACCATCGCCAGGGCACAAGCGATGGGCAAGAGACCAGCAGAATTCCAGAGAGGGGTCATGGCAGAAAGGATGGACAGCGGAAGCAGAGAGACACCGAGAAATGGTGGAGTCAGAGACAACAAAAGAAAAGGCAGAAAAGCAAGGCTGAGTAAAGACAGAATGCTGTGGCCAACCGGAGAAGAGAAACAGTGGGCTAGGGGAAGAGTCATCTAAAAACGTTAACGTTAGTGGTAGCTGCCGGCTGCTACTGACTGCTGTCTGGTGCTGCCTCTGAAGGTCAAGGATTTCAAAAGCTGCCAAGAGCTGGGGCCAGAGGCAATTAAAGCCCAGAGCAATAAGTCTCCAGTCTGCACACCCAGATCCTAGAACAGTACACCCTCAACTCCAAGGGTTAGGAACTGTAAGCTTCTATATCTGTGTGGTTAACCCCTAGGCCTTGGGAGGAGTACCAGCTCTGGAGGTACGCCATCCTGCTCATTTCTCTCTAAAGCTAAAGGACCCAGGCACATGATTGGTGGTAACACTACAGTTTGGAAATCTCTCTGAGTTTTCTCAGAGCATGATCATATGGTATACAATTCCTG